CCCCAAAACCCCAAAACCCCAAAACCCCAAAACCCCATTATCAGTTTATTCTATTGAAATTATTGGCTTAAATGTTTTTACCAAAACTCACTTCTTGATAAAATCAATAATTTTATTACAAACATGGGGAAGAAAGGAAGACGAATGAGAAGACAAGTCATAATGCATGAGGAAGAAAGAACCAGACTGACTACAGATCCAGTCGACATCTCCGCTTCTTTGCTCAGCCAGGCTGTGATACAGCATTTAAAGCAGACCAAAGGTAAGAAGAAGTCCAAGAGAACCAACAGGCCTTCTGAGCCTCCTCCGGATTCTAGTATTGACTCTATGTGGAAATTACATAGGCTAGTGTATGCTAGGGACTCTACTGAGGACCAGATTGAGAAGAACAAGCAACTTTTAGAAGAACTCAGGGATGATGACCGTCTTAAAGAACTCCATAACCTTGATCAAGAGCTTGAGTAAAATATCTCTCATATTTTTTAGGGAAGTTGAACGTAAGAATCAAGAATTTGAGACTAAAATGGAAATTCTGATTGAAACCCGCTCCAAGGATAAGAAGTTTCAAGAGGAGTTTCAGAAGACTCAAGATTTAGTACAAAAATTGAACACTATTTTGGAATGACCCATCATCTTTGCACGCTTTGAAGATCCCGTTCTCTTTCCTTCAGGACATACGTATGATAACTCTTATGTAAGTCATTAGAAATTTCTGGCAAAATATTAAATTCTGAAATTTTATTGTGAGTTCCTAAATAGTAAGATTTAAGATTCACCAGGGTAAAGCCTTGTCTTAAATAATCATACATTCATTCAACATTGTCTTTAGGTTATGGCTCTTGAAGAAACATTAGACAAAGACCCAGTGACTCGTCAGAAATTAGAATCCAAAAGATTCAGGCCTCATTTCATTGCGAAGGCTTTGATTGATGTGGTCCAGAAGTATATCCCAAGGTCGTCTTAGTCTTTTGAAACCACTTTAATTTCATCATAATTAGATATTTTCAACCTAAGTATTTTCTGAGGGGTTTTGGGGTTTTGGGGTTTTGGGGTTTTGGGG